CCCGGCTATTTTTTGGTTGCAGCCATCATTGTTGTTTGGCGGGCCCAGGCTGGGGATTCGAACCCACCACCTTAGGTGTACGTGGCTGGCTCCTTAGCCGGTTGAGCTATAGGCGCCGAGCCAGCAAATGTAATCTTAAAAGAAGTGTTTAAATTATTATTTAAATTAATTGTTTAAAAATTATTTGCTGCTTCAAAAAAATTCACAGACTATTTGGTGACACATGTCATAGAGAGGTGAAAAGAAGAGGCCCATAGGTACTTTATTCTCTAGTGAACAGCCTTTCTCTCTTTACTAATACAGTGAATTCCCTGCCAGCCAGAGCGTGTTGGAAAGGGACCACACAGTGCTGAGTGACCTGTCTCAGTGAAGAGGAGCCTCCTAATAACTCAGAGGGTTTAGATGAGATAAGCAAATTTTGCACAAATCTCCTGCTGAGATTACTGACCACTTGCTGTGAGCAAGGCCCTACTCTAGCACCTTCAAGGAGGTGGAGCTAAGGGGACTTTTGTGTTGGCTCTTCAGGGACCCTGACCTCAAAGGAGCTCTCCGAGATCCACCTCCTTACCCCAGAGCATGTGCACCCAGTCACGAGGGCACAAGGACTACCTTGGAGTATCACTACATGGGGTAGATGGATGATCCTGGGAAGGACCCCCTTTCAGAGGGACACTCCTTGCTACCATCACCCATGGCCATCTCCCTCCTTGAGCTCCAAAATGACAAGGACCACAACTTCTGTGGTACCTCCTACTCTGATAGCTGCTAAACCTGAGGGTAGCCAATAACTAAATTTATTGAATTAGGTCATTTTTAAAAAAAAGTTTGGAGGCCAGGCACGGTGGCTTATGCCTGTAATCCCAGCACTTGGGAGGCCGAGATGGGTGGATTGCCTGAGTTCACTGGTTCTGGACCAGCCTGAGTCAGAGCGAGACCCCACCTCTAAAAAATAGCTGGGCGTTGTGGCGGGCGCCTGTAGTCCCAGCTACATGGTAGGCTGAGGCAAGAGGATTGCTTGATCCCAAAAGTTTGAGGTTGCTATGAGCTAAGACGCCGTGGCACTCTACCAAGGGTGACCAGGTGAGACTGTGTTTCAAAAAGAAAAAGAAAAAGAAGAAATGTTTTTGGGTGGGGCAAAGGGAAAAGCCATTTCTCTTAATGGAGGGTGCTGATGCCAAGGCCATGGGAGAAGGGAGGGCCCATGACTCCAAACCACTCACAGAGTTTAGTAATCCTCACATGTTCCTGGGTGGTCTTTGGAAGTGATCACGACGCCGACCAAACCATTCTCAGTCCCCGATCGGAGTGGATGCTTCCTCACCCACTTCCTGCCGTTTGTGTCTCTCCATCCGCAGATCCATTTCACCCAAACTACCCACCACTGGAGCACGCTTCATGGCTTGGTTCACCATTCATAAAGAATTCACCACTTTGTTTGAAACCTGGCCCATCTTACACAAATAATCCTCACAGTGGCTTGCTTTGTGTCTCCACACCCTGCTCTTTGGCTTTATTCTAAGGTCTCCACACTGAGAAGAGAGCCGAGAAAACCCAGCATTGCTATTCCTTGTAGACCTGCCACCCACCACAGGAAATGGATGTGGCCCTGAGGAACCAGGCTGGCCCTCCCCACAACACATAATGATGGGTTTTAACATTTGGATGGTCCAACTCAGTGCCAGGTCTCTTGTTCTTGTAGGAGCCAGGACATAATCCTCTGTGCTTCCTTCCAAAGCAAACCCAGGGAGCCTTTCTTCTCTGGGCTGATTTCCTTTGATGAGATTTTCCTGGAGCTGACAGTGGCTCCTTTCTCTCTCCTTGCCCTCTAATTACCTCCCACACCCGCTCCTGACTGTGGTGGTTTCTGAGCTGCGGAAGTGTAGCTGGATGTTTTATCAGCTCTTTGGAGCCTGAGCCTAGAAAAGCACAACCTACCCTGTAGTTTCCACTCCTCTGGAGCTCTAGTCAGCCTCGGATTTTGCTAAACAGCCTTCTCTGTTCATGGGGCCATGGTGGCCCCTCCCTGTAGTGCCACCTACCTCCCTATCTTATCAGGAAAGTGAATCAAATGATGAGGCAAGTTTCCATTTCAGTGATGTATCACTCAACAAGGAAACACTTGTTTATCACGCATCCATCCAGATGCCAAGAGGCCGTGGGGAGGTTCACAGAGGTGGAAGCCTGCCCTTTGTCCCAGTGAGTTCACCACCTAGACCAGTGTTTTTCAACCTTTTTTAACTCACAACACACTCGAACCTATAGTTAAACTTCCACAGCACACTTCAACTATATTGATAAAAAAAAAAAGAGTAAAAAAAGACAATATATGTACTATGCCTTAAACTTCTTTTGAAAATAATTTAATTGGCTCGGC